AAAAAATATCTAAAAAATTAAAATAACAATTTTGGGGTGGACCACCCTTAACATTAAGGGGGTTGAAAGATAGATAGTAGCCGATTCTCAAACTTACTGAATGCATAAAAAATTCCGTTTCATAGGATTATGGGAACGAACATCGTGACTTGTGTATATGTAATTTATTTACACGAAAATTATTAACTGTGTGTTGGTTTATGATGTGTATGTGTAAACTCAAGACGCATATATGCCATTACAGATACAATTATTGTCACTATCGTTCTTCGACATATTAAACTTTTACAGACTAAAGAATAACAATTTTTTTATATAAATTTTCAGCTGAGGATGGTCAACAAGTGTTTCTAAACAGTTTGAACGTGCGTCTGCTGGTGGCGTCGTGGGGTGCTCTTGTGGCAGCTCCGCCCCTTATACGGTCACGAGTGCTGCATCGAGATACGGTCTCCTTGGGTGAACAGGTAATTTTCACATTTTATTTAAAAATAATCTGTTAGGGTAGACTTATAAATATTGGTAAAGGTCAAAAGCATGTACAACACTGATAGTACTTACATAGTGATCCTTTATCATCGATTTTGAATATACAGTGTAAACTCTATAACGAATTTCAATGGACCGAGCATTTTTTTTCGTTATAGATAAGTTTCGTTACAGGTAGGGAAGAATTAATGTATGGGTTTTGGGTTAAACCAAATACATATAACTCGTTTTTACGTTATTACGAATGACGTTTATAAAGACATTACACTGTATATTTCTTTTTTAATTTAATATTAAAATAAAAATGTTTACTCTTAATAAATGTCCAAGTATAGCTATGTAGCTTTTATTTAATTAGAAGAAGATCTTTAAAACAAGTTTTAGAAATAGTAAGTATGCCTACAAAACTAAGTCATCTAGGCCTCATTTAAATCGGTTTGGATCATATATTATACATTGTACATAAATAATTGTTTTATTTCAGACCCGTAAACACATGCCATACACAGCCCACTTGCCTCTTCATTGCTCCTTTGATGTAGTCGAACTAGACTTAAAGCCACCCTACGTCACTCCAGAGGCACTTGAAAACTTTGCTGGTAATTATCTATTCTGTTACACACCTACACGGGGGGTATGGGGGGGGTTTGTCAATAATCTCAAAATTGCGTGACGTAATACTACTACTACGTAATACTTGAACGCTCCCTTATTATATTTAACTATATTTGAAATATTTATTTAGAAAATAAATGCTATTTATAGATTTCAATAATTAAACATAATCTCACTTAAATGAAGGCTAATGAGCAATTTACATTATTATATTATTATTTTGGTTAATTTCAGTGGAAATAGAGCGCCGTGCCCGTAACCGCGCTCGCCAAGAACGCGAAGAACGACGTCGTGAGCGTGCTTACCATCGCGCTATGGAGGGTCCACCTAAACCTGACTTCTTTTCCGATGTCCTGTTTCCACCACCTGTTTCCCCCTTGGGAAGCCCACCAGAACATAATTTGTATGAGCCTGGCCCTTCTGGTGAACAACCTAAACCGTCTACCAGTGGCTCCGCTGGACCATCCTTTGCAAAGGTAAAAAGGCTTTCAAAGTCGGTTCAAAATGCTTGCACTGTCTTAGTCCAATCTCAAATCAAACTAAGGATTTTAGACCCAGCGAAACAATTTTTGTTAGGAAGGCAGATAAGACTGATGAATCTCCTCAAGAAAAATTTTAAATTTTAGAAAGAGATTAGAGAAGAATTGCTGTTAATGCTTAGTGAACTGTTTTCACGTGATTGTGGAATTAAGCATATATAATATGAAATATTAACAAATATAAACCTTTTACTTTTAAGATGGCAGGCACGAGTGGAACATGGCGGGTTCGGAAGACCAATGTACCTCCTCCTCCCATTGAAGTAAATGAGGAAAGTCACGCCCCACGCTCTCTAGTACTGAGTGACGCAATAGAAGCTGCTCTGCAAGCAAGTCCTTCAAACGCCCCGTCCAAAAAGAAAAAATCCAAACAAAAATTGTTATTTGCAACCGGTATGAACCGGTTCCCATAAAATAAAAAATCTGTGAAACCAGATTCCATTACATACTATACGATTTTAATACGTTGATATTTGTATCAACGAATACCTTGTCTATTATAAAAGTATCTGTAAGCATAGTGGCCGTTCAAGTATTACGTAAGCACCTTTAGGGGGGAGGGGGGATTTTTTTCTTATTTGGTGATTACGTCGACAGTAATTATTTACTTTTTGAAGTTATACTTCTTTAGACGCGTTATGAAAAATTGATGAGAGTGAAATTTTACGATGCGCGCGCACCGTGACACAAAATTAACAGAATGAAGTTAGTGGCGCATGTTGGCACGCACGCCGCCTCTGTTCACTGTGTATTTATATTTATAATATTTATCCACATGTTTTGAGTTTCTACATTTAAAACACGTGTTTTCATTTTGTTTTCATTATGCAAGTGCGAATTTTATATGTGCGTCTGAATTATAATCAGAAGTGATTTAAATTGAATATTTAAATCAATACTAATTAATATTAGAAAATAATAATAAATATAATATTAATAAATATTTATTTATTTAATTTTTCAAATGTAAACTGAACTTTATTAACTATAATTAATTATTTGCATGCAATCAAATACTATTTTTAATAATGCCAAAGATGTATAACTTCTTACGCGCGTACATAAGTACAAGTAGCGGCACGAAACTCTAGCGCTGTCAGTTATTGCGCAGAAGTAAAAAATAAGGTACCTGAGGGGGGCTAGCGGGCGCGCGTAGCGTCGATTGGCTCTCCAGTCGCATTCCGTCCCCCGCGCGACAGTACACATGCGCAGCAACCCCCTCCACGTATCGGCCAGCGCTAGACTTACGTGCCGCTGCCTATCAAGCACCCTTTTTTTTTACACAGATAACCCACACATTGTCTATGCTTGAAAACAAAATGCATTTTCGAGGATTCCTACAAAAAACTTGCTTACTTTTGCGATCAAGAGGAGGGGGATAAATTTCAGTAAATCTGCTTACGTAATACTTGAACCCCATAGATGAAATAATATTTCAATATAAATAAACATTCAATGTCTCAGTTTGGTAGTAACTCAATATGCTAAACTTAATCAACTAAGATAAATTGTAAAAATAAATGTTTGACTTTGAAACTTAAGTTCTACTTTACCCCAGTTACAAAATACTGATTTTCACGTTTATCAGTCTTTAAGTTTTTCATTCAGTTTGTGTCTGTGACAATGTTTTAATATATTTTATAGAGAATTTATATATTTTAAATTTGACATGCGCTTAAATTACAAAGCGTGTGGCTCAAATATTTAAGATTTTGTTCCTAATTTGTTAAAATGTTACCTTTTTTTCTCCTGGCAAGTCCAAATTTTTGTGGACATTGTAAAGTTACATTTGTTGTTTAAATTCTCATGTTCCCAATTTGAGTAAAAAGTATTGTTTGATCTTAAATAAACAAGATAAAATGGATCGTTAAACTATCCATTAATGTCTCGATGTAATCTTTAAAATGTATTTATCATGGCGTGAAAGACGTTATATATATTTAAACACTTTTTGTCGTCGTAGAATCATATAAATAAAAACTACTTTAAAAAGGTGACATTTGTTTTTATTTACACAAATATTCCTAGAATTATTATTTTGGATATGATGTCCTCCCAAGTATTTGAAATAAAATTCTAAATGCAAACTTGCATCAAATTTGACCCTATGCTAGTAGTGCTAGATTCTATAATGTACTGATAATAAATACATTTTATACAAACAAAAATAACGACGCTAGAAAAGATAGGTTTCAATTACGAGTCCACCTATAATAACAGTGACTATATCATTTTGCTTGCCCCTGGGAACAAAGTCGTAAAATAAATCTTCTTTTTTTTCAGGAAAAATAAAAGAAGGTATTGCAATCATTACTAGAGTCCGCGCCACCACTCATTGCCGACGGGAACCCTGGAACTAAATTTGTCGTTACAGTGAAATTTTATTTTATTCGTTTTAAGGTAAAACATTAGAAGCAAATCTTGGAGAGTAGTTCGCGAATTTCATATTAATTTATGTTACGTTGGGGTAAAATAGCCTTCCACAAAGCTACTCGCTAGCGCCGCGTCTATCGGCATTCAGTGGTGGCGCAGATTCTAGGATTCCAATTTCCAACTACATTACAAATACAGATATATATCAAATGATTTTTTTTACATTAAACTGACGATTTAAACATTGTTGTTATGTATTTATTGTACATAATATGTAGTTAAAAACTAAATGCACATTATAGTAATTTATCTAATAAGACTGAAGAGCAAAAGCATTTTACGATTGTTTCACTGGTTAAATATAATTACGGACGACACAGTAAACGCACATTACGACGGTAATTTTAGCCGAATGTCTAGAAGGTAAGAATTTATTACCACTCTTTTTGCGGAAATATTATGAGCTTGGTGAAACAGAAATATGTTATTACCAGTCTTTATTTGATTTTAAAGTGTGCATTAACTTTTACGATTAACTGGAAGAATTACAATCTTTATAGTTGATGCAATATATTTCAGGAAAGTAAAATTAGGTAAACGTTAACATTGTGCACAAAATGATTTCCGTTGAATAAAGACATCGTCATGTTTTAATCATAAAATGATTTGCAAAAATTCTGAAAAAAATCACCTAAAGACATCACTCAAGGAAGTCAACATTGAGAAAACATTAAAACAGTCATAATAGTACTTTACGACTTTGTTCCCGGGTCAAGCGATATGTGTCCCTGTTCTAAACGAAACAGATAAAAATCTCAATCAATCAATGTCAGAACTTAGTTGTTAAACATCAAAATAACTTGAAAGTTGAAATTCAAACTAAGTCTATATTTCAAAATTTTAGTAAGCAATAAGCATAACATTGTAGCTCACCGAATTGTATTAATCAAACAATTATTAAATCAATATCGAATTTATAAAAAGGTCATGGCGTCGAATGTTAGAGACTTTTTATTTGAACCATTTAAAGTTATTGAAGTTAAATTTGAAGGACGTAAATGGCCTAGACCTAGAAGTGGACATAGAATTATTTGTGACGATGGAAATGTGTACTGTTTTGGAGGTTACAACCCTTCTTTATTATTAAAAGAAATACAGCTTAACAGTTCCACATGGTCACCCACAAAACCACTATTTAGGGAATTGTGGAGTTTTAATGTAGCCACAAGATTATGGAAGGAACATGATATAACTGAAAATATGCCTGAAGAACTAGCTTCGAATGCTATGTGCATCAATGGCAGATATATTATGGTTTGTAATTTTCACTTCAACAGAGTATCTCTTGCTAAAACAGTTGCATTTCATTCTGATGTCCTTATAAAAATGGTCTGCAAAATTTCAAATCTGCTTTTCATCACAGCATGAACATAATTTGACATAAAGAGTGTAATTAGACTGATTTAGATTTATGAATGGTTTTTTGTGTAAGAATAAAAATGTACACAAGAAATCTTATTTTTTTAGATACATGGTGGCACTGGTTTTCACTTTGGTAACAAATGCAGTAATGATGTTATAGTATGGAATACTAAATGTTGTAATAATACCCTAGAAGTTCTGGAAGTAACAGGTGCTAGGCCACCTGGGCAATATGGGCAGTCTATCTTGTGCCACAATAGCTATTTTTATACTGTAGGAGGAACAAATGGTCATGAATACAATTGTGATATTCACAGGTAAGAAAAATAAATAATTTGTGCTTGATGACTTTTTGTAAAAGAAGATGTATATTGATTTTCTCATTTTTTTATTCCCTAAGTTAAACTTTGTTGAATTTTTAAATATCCTCCAGGCAACCTACACAAGATATATTGAAATCTATCCAGTAGTATGTACATAGGGATATTCCTCTTTTGATTTGAGTTGTTTTCCATTACAGATTAGATTTACGTACTAGGACATGGGAACCTGCATTTTTAGGCACAGGACAAGATTATGAACCACAAGGAAGGTATAGACATGAAATGGCTAAAGCTGATAACAAACTTTATATCATTGGCGGAGGCACCAATGAAATGGCCTTTGAACTTATGGAAATCCCTATGTTTGACTTAGATAACAATACTTGGTCATACTTATTACCAAAACCTGATGATAGTTTAGAGAAAACCATTGCACCATTGCCAAGAAAGTGTCATAGTGCAGTTCAAATTGATACAGAGAGTGGTGTTCAAGTTTTTGTTGTTGGGGGGAGTGACAGTGAATCAGTGTTTAATGATGTTTGGCGGTTAGATTTACCTGAACTCCAGTGGCATTTAATGCAAAAAAGTGTTCTTCCTAATCCATTATACTTCCATTCATCTGCAGTCACTTCATACGGATGTATGTATATATTTGGCGGCATAGAATCATTACAGAATGCAACATGTAGAAAGAATAAGTTATATAAAATGTGGCTGTGTATTCCAAAATTAAGTGAAATGTGTTGGGAAGCACTCCATAGTTGTTATCCAAAAGTTGCAACACTCAAAAAACAGCAACTACTTGACATAGGTATTCCCCAACACATTGTCGATAGAGTGCATACTGGTTAAGATATCAATGTCTTTGGGTTCATTTATGGAATAAATTAAAAATTATATCTTTTTTACTTGTAAAGATAGATGGAAAAAGAATAAAGTATTCTAGAATGTCAATTCTATCTAATTCTAGAAACTTAGAAACTGTCTAATATTTTTTCTGTATTAATTTTGACATATTTGTCAGCACACATGATGAGATCGTGACTTGAAATATAAATTAGAATATGGACCTTAGAATTTGAGAATAAAGATTCAGACATCAAAATAATAATTACGCATTTAGTAAATGTGAATTTTATTAATCATCGAAATATAAATTTAATTGTACATTTAGTAAATGTAAATTTTATTAATCATCAAAATATAAATTTAATTGTACATTTAGTAAATGTAAATTTAATTATTTGGTATAGCTTAAATCTATATCTTGAAATTTATGGTTATTACACCTCATGAAAATTGGGTAAAAATTAATAGCATTCATTCTTTTACTCAAAGCAGACTAGGTTAATAAAAAAATTATTGTTACATCTTTACAAAATTATAAAAAAACAATTGGCTCTTTGAGGCCTGATGACCCAAATTGTCTTGGTTGTCTTGAAGAACATATTCAATAGAGAAAAATGTGATTAATATAATCGCAGACATGTAAATAATAATATATTAGTATGTACAATGTACATACCTTAATCAATACCAAGGGTATATTATTTTAGACTTATGTATATTTAACACATATTTTTAATAAAAAAAAAGTACAATGTCCGGCTATATTTTTATTTGATAATAATTTATGGTAGAGACAAGACATTTATATACAAGACTTTTCTTTATTTTGTAAATAATCTATATATTACCAGAAATAAATGGATGCTACTATATTATTTCTCTATATTAATAAGTTTATATATAATGTTGTATATGCTTAATTATAACTAAAGCATAATACAACCTTAATGGTTATAATAAGTATGACGAATTGGTGTTGTGTGACTGAATCATAATAAAAAATCTATTTTGAACATCCCGGTTATTTTATTTCTGTCAGTTTCGTTAACTATTGTGTTTAAAAATTTATCATCCCAATCTCGTCCCTCAAACAATAGATAGTGAAAATATATTCATAGTCAGTTTCTTTGCACATTTAAACTTATTTTATTTAAATAGATTAGTTTGAATGATGTCTCATCATAAAAAGCAAATGTTATTACTTGTATACATTGAAATAGAAAAGATATCTTAGCAGTTCATTCTTGGCAGCGAAATCTGTCAGTTATCAGTCGATTTACGTTTAGTTTATAATCATTTCTCCTAACATCACCTTGTTACGCTCAATACAACAATTATATATTAATTTTCAATAAAATCGTCTGGGTCAATTCAAAGTCCCTGATGAAAATACACGAGCTAATGGATTGTCGCGCAAATGTAGGGCCTATTAAACTCAGTTTAGCTTTATAGGTCTCAATTTCGCTTTCAAGGGTAATCGGGCTGTGTCCGCAACAAGTGCGCGCTGCGTGCGTCCCGTCCGTTGGCCGGCGTGGTTTCGCGCCAACTTGTGGCTGCAGTACAAGGAAACGCGCCACACGATCGGGACACGGTCAAACTGAAATCCCCGCGAAACTCAAAACATTCCATTTCGTTAACATTTTAAAATGGTTTTAAAACAGTTACGCCGTAATGTTTGCGTCAAATTAAAACGTGGTTATTTTTAATTCAAAGCAGTTGTTTTATTGGAAAATGGAGGTGTCGAGCACGATTGGCCCGACGCCGCATCGGTCGCCGACTCCGGAACTTCACGCGACGTACACAAGTCTTGAGATCTTGGTGGCCCTTGTGGCTGTTGTTGGAAATGCGATGGTGATACACGTGTTTCGTAAAGACAGACGGTTACGTCGACGGACGAATTATTATATCGTGTCGTTGGCTATTGCGGACTTTTTGGTTGGTTTACTTGGGATTCCTTTTGCGATCCTAGCTTCAGTTGGAATGCCGAGAAATCTCTACGCCTGTCTCTTCACAGTGTCATTGCTGGTTATGCTGTGCACGATCAGTATCTTCTGTTTAGTGGCAGTGTCTGTGGATCGCTACTGGGCGATACTTCATCCAATGGGTTATTCGAGGAACGTTCGGACTAAAACGGCAATCTGTAAGTAATTAGATTATTTAAATATTTTTTAATATAGATTTGATTCGATACTTTATGTCGGACAGATTATTGTATATAAGTATTATCTAATATAATAGTTCGTTTATATAAAATAACTCATATTTTAATTTTTTTTTAATAATATTTAATACAAACCCCTAAGAGAGCAAACGTGATTTTTTATATTACAATTCGAATTAACCTCTATTTAAAACAATGTGAAAGAGAAGCCCAATACAAAACTATTGTAGAAACCACGCAGATTTATCTGTCATTAATAAAACAAAATTTGTGACAGCAATAAAACTTATTTCATATATCTCGAAAAATAACAAGAACTCGCCTCAGACCAAGAGGGGCTCCATGGGATAGGTCAAAGTGTAAATTAGTTTTTATTCATATAAAAACTCACAGAGTAGATCATAATAGTCTTAAAAGTACGATTCTTTTTGCATTTTCTATACGTTTTATACATGATTAATGTACTTAATTTATTAATTTTTCTGTTGTACATGCTAATCTTCTAAATTAAGTACTAAGGTAAAATATAACGAATAATAAATATAGTATTACCTCGGAACGTCATTTAGGATCTATTTGTTTGAATATTAATATCTATATAATTTGAAGATTATTCATAATTTATCTCTCACTTAGTAGTTAGTCTCTAGTGCGTGTACACTGTACATTGCATTACCTATACGACTAAATAATATTTTTATTGAAATGTCATCATCGAAAAGCCGTCAAAAAATTTGCTTAATTATTAATAATTAATAATAATTCCACGTCTCCTATTGCTAAAATATTTGTCTAATTAAATATAGTAGGAATGTAAGGGTACGTTAGATACTCTACCTTCTCATTAGAATACCTAAATGTTTGCACAGTAACCAGAAGCCCTTGTACAAATTTTGTTGATGATATTGAAATACCACCAAAAGGGTTTCACCAACAATTATAAGGGTAAGAATTAAAACCTACTCTCATCGGTACAGCTACTCATTTGGAAACATTGTTACTTTTCCACTAATTGCTTTAGCTTTCCAAATTATAATTGGATTTTTGATTACATCGTGACATTTCTGAATAATGACTGGAAATTATGATTCAAGAATGGATTTAAATGGTTTCCCGGACAGGGCTATTTGTTCAAAGTCACAGCCAAAAGTCTCGTCAGTTATAATATCAACACAATTTCCTACATAACTGGTGTGTGTTCTGCACTAACAGATCTGTAACCGAAAAGAAAATAAAAGAAAAACTGTATTTTAATCCCGTATCCCGGATTAAAGAAAAAAAAGGGTGCGTGTACTTATGTACGAGCGTAAGAAGTTATACTTCTTTGGCATTTTTAAAAATAGTTTTTGATTGCATGAAAATAATTTATTACAATTAAATAATCAACGACTAGAAAAGGAGTCATTATAGTCAATAAAGTTCAGTTTATATTTGAAAAATTAAATAAATAAATATTTATTTTTTGTAGCCTCGTAGCCGTAGCATCTTCCGTGGGCAACTTCATTCTGTTAATTTTGTGTCACGGTGCGCGCGCATAGTAAAATTTCACTCTCATCAATTTTTCATAACGCGCCTAAAGAAGTATAACTTCAAAAATCTTCAAGGACGTTTAGCTGCAGGCACCACGCCAAAACGCCTAAATCCGCAGCAGCCATAGCTGTAGCCGCAACCAAAGTAGCCTGCACCGGTAACTCTATTGTCTTGACGGATCTTTAGTTTAGATATACTATTTGTCAAGGAAACAATTTAGTTCAATTAATGATTTTTCTAGTCTTGACTTCCGAGCACTTCTCTCTCACCGAGCACTCTCTATTATGATATGTAATACACAAGCACCAGTGGTGCTAAAACAGATTAAATATATATTTTGAATTAAATTAGAGTTATACCAAAATACCGGCGCTGATATAAATGCAGATACTATAAAAAACTGTTAAAACAGCTGAAAATCACACGAATCGGGTTCTGAAGCATTATCGTGTACTCAACTGAACGCTAAAGTTAAATCCATTCTAAGTTATGATCTATATATGGAGTGTAATCTCCAATATTCATGAATCTTCCCATTAGGGCTAAATCCACGTATATAGGCTGTCGTATTATTCATGATATCCGTTTGCAACTAAATTATTATAATATAGTTTTACATACAAGGTAGCACTACTGGAATTTACCTAGCAAGATACCAACGAGATAATATAGAGGAAATTGTATTCTTCTTGCCACGGTTGCATAATATTTCTAGATAATATTTCTATCATGTAGGAAAAAAAATGTGTGCGTGTACTAGGTGTACACACGTAAGAAGTGAAACTTCTTTAAGACCTTATTAGAAACTATTTCTTTAAACACAGTAAATTTTGATACACTGCCTTGCATACAATTTACAAATTAATTGCTGCAAATTGCGATTAGCAAATTTCAAGTCGAAAATGTAATCCGTTGTCAAACTTCAAAGTCAAAAACATACTATATGTCATATTTTAACGCCGATAAAGAAGTTTGACTTCAAAAAGCAACATGGCGCGTAACGGAAAAATGTGACCCGTAACGCAAAAATGTTGCACTAAATTTTTTTCCAACCCCGATAAAGAAGTTTCACTTCAATTAACTTCTGTTCTTCTGCAGAATTATTTTTTAGATGATGACAATAGTATTTTTATTACATTATAATAACTAGCTTTTGAGGTTTTACTAAGCGGTCTGTATTGAACAAACGCGCGAAAATGTAACTTTATTTAACTGTAAAACTTTATTTCTCATTACAAAAAATGTATTTTTATTTACATGAGAAACTTAATATGTATATACGAACGAGATACACGTCGCTATCAGCCGTGCCAATTTTAGTCTCGCTAATATTACGAATTGTAGACGGTAATTGATTAAATAAATAAAATAAGGCTTATATATTTGTTCTTAACAGATTAATCCATATTAAGTTTAAAATTACACAATCCCGACGTGTCTCTCATGGTCAAGGGTTCACTGTCATGTTAATTGTCATTGTAATGTCAACTATACTAACTCTGCTACGCCATCAAAAGATTCATTATAACGAATGCCAAAATACGCCTACGGGGCGTTTTAGTAACTGCGTAGCAATTGCTACGTAATTTGAAACCGTTTTCTTCTCTACGAGTTTTTATTAAAATTTCGAATATATTTTTACTATAATATATATTATATACATACTATATATCTAATATTATATATTAGATGGATAATATATTTCTTTGGATACTTACAATGCTTTGATCATAAACATCAAACAAAACCAATGGTATGATGAAAAAGAAATAATATTTTAAAAATCTTAATTTATCTTTCAACAACCCATAATAACTAGAGTTTACGTTTAATAAAGGTTCGATCATTCTTTGATCATGATTTAAAATCAGGTTATAGAGCTCATGATAGCAATAAAAAATTGAATAAGGTCATCGCGACTGGAATGCAGTATCAATTGTTGTAATTTAATAACAGTAATAAAAGATAACTACTTGCCGACATCTCTTTGATATACTATATTTAGTAAGATTATGCGTATTGAATTGTAAACTTATTAAAAAAAACAACCTCTAGGTCTTGACCTCAGTTTTTGATAAATATTATTTCTATATTTCGAATCCAATATATAAAATTCTTTTGTCACGATGTTTGTAATTAAACTCCTCCGAAATGGCTCGAGCGATTTTCGTGAAATTTTGCGTGCATATCGTTTAGGTCTGCAAATCGGACATCTATTTTTCATCCTAAATGTTCAGGGTAACCCCTAAATTTTATTTTTTATATTTTAGACAACAATTTTTGTTTTTATTTTTTTATGATGCATACAAAAATAAATACACCCTTTAATTTTCACCCCTCTACGATCAACCCCCTACTTTTTATTTGATAATGAAAAACTTATGAACTCTGAGTATAGAGAAAATTCACAGAAAAACCTAAACAGTTTTATTTCCGGGAAACCGAACAGTTTTGGGGAACAAAACAAAATGTTCCATGAATGTACTAAAAAGGTAGGCCAAAGTTCCTCACAAAGTTTTCCATCACCGTACGCGTGTTAAATGCGTACATAATTTCATTGGTGCATAACCGAGATTCGGACGGACGACCTTTTGATTTAGGTGACATCTCTTCCTTAAATAAAGGATAAAGAAATACAATTTCTTCCGCGGTGTTTCTAGGTCCAATTTTCAGATTTGTAAGCTAAAAACTATTAATAAAAAAATAGGTAAAAAAACTTTTTAAGTTAAACGGTTTTATGTTAAACATACATTGCAATGTTTAAGATAAATGTACTAAAAACAAAAAAATAATAAAATAGATACAGTCGTGGGAATTATAAACATATGCATAGACTAGACTAAAATAAAACCGTGGGGCACGTCAATTGTCTACAAATTATCGACTTAATGTGCGATAGAAGAATCGTTTAATTCGTCGTTAAAATAGGCAGTTGGCCCGCAGACGGTCAGGAAATTACTTACTATTTTCTTGCTCATGGAAATTCCAATAGTTATACACTCCATGTAAATAAAAGAGATGTTTCAACTAGTTTATCGTTGGACATTCACACTGCTGGCTGGCGAGGAATCGTTTCAACAGACAATTGACATGCCCCACGGTTTTATTTTAGTCTAGTCTATGCATATGTTTATAATTCCCACGACTGTATCTATTTTATTATTTTTTTGTTTTTAGTACATTTATCTTAAACATTGCAATATATGTTTAACATAAAACCGTTTAACTTAAAAAGTTTTTTTACCTATTTTTATTTTCTAGTTTTTAGTTTTTATTTCGCATTCTGTTTAATTCATTTAGTGCTTCATTATTGCAAGGTTCCTTGCCCGTTAGTTTATATAAATAAATCAATTCTATAATACAAATATAATATATATTTAATTAATAAAATAGATACAGTTTTTAATATAATGTTATATATTATATAATATTTATTTATTTATTTAGTTTATTGTAT